CCTTCACACCTGGTGATGGATACGATGTATGTTTGGTCTGCGTTCAAACATTGATTGGGCTAGTTATTAGCATCCTAGCATTCTGCTTCGCTATTTGATACTATGTGAATGAGGTCAGTCCCGGTCAGGTCAGGCTTTGTATCTCAGTCTTCCCTGCGCTATTCAGCACCATGTTGTATGTATGAGAATGCCTCGGTGCTCATTTCGTTGTTGAAAATCCGGAATATTTTTACGGTACGGGAAATCCCTCCTGCGGCATTATTTTCCAAACTGCGAATATTCTCATCTGAATAAATCCGAATACTTGTCATTTCTTTTCGGATTTTTTTTCGCAATTCTAGGATTCTGTCAGTCAGTTGAACTCAGTTCCATAAATCATTTGCAGTCCGAAGTCGAAATTTTTTTCTCTTTCAGTGATCATTTCGCACTTCAAGGGAGGTTGGGAGACCTACTGAACTTGCAAAAATCGGAATTTTTATTTTTTTTCTCGATTTTTTTTTTTGCGAAGTTCAAACTTTTCCTTTTTGATTAGTGGCTCTTTATCGGAGTGTTAGTTGGGCGATTATCCCACCCACCCCTCCCCACCTATGTTGTTGCCATCTCTCGCCTTACCTTCTCTGCTTGTCTCCGGGTACCCCCTGCGGCGGCATTGGTGAGTTGCCACGTCAGCAGTACATCAGCAGGCCACGTCAGCAGGCTACGTCAGCAGGACAGGTCAGCAGGACATGTCAGCAGTGCCACGTCAGCAGCAGGGGATACAGCAGGCCCTGGTCTGGTCTATGCTGTTGCGGTCACATACAGCAGTCATGGACCAGAGGCCCGAAGAAGCAGACGAGGCCTATTAGGCCCACATGCTGGCCTGGAGTATCGAAACAAAGAAACGGGCAGATGACACTGCAGCAGCAGCGAAGAAGAAGGCAGAGGATGCCGAGCAGGCACGTCTGCTGGCGATTGAACAACCGCGCCAGCATGACGAGGCAGCAGCAAGGGCTGCCGATGAAGAAAGACACCAACGTCGTGAGAAGATGTTTACCGGAGAGCAGGCTTTACACACAATGGCAGCGGAATGGCGGACCAAGGCCGAGAATGGCAAGTTGGAGGATAGCGCAAACAAGATAGCACTCCTCCTCTCGCATCTCACAGACCTCCTGGCAACCTGCATTACACAGCAGGAGGAGATCCACGGTCTCGACAACTCGCTAGCTCACGTCCAAGACCACCTTCAGCGGTTGGAGCAGCGACCAGTCGCCGCCGCCGATGAAAGCTCTTCCAATACCTCCGACCGCCTCAACGCATTGGAGATGGACGTCGGCTCACTCAAGGATGGCGTGCAATTACAGCAGACCGCGATGCAACAGTTGCAACAGCAGATCTGCACTACCGCCAACACCTCGAGTTCGGAACCGCGCGGGACAGCTTCAAAGTTCGACGGGCAGGAGATCTTCTGCGACTCGATGAAGACAGATCCGATTCCATGGTTCCGCAAGTTCGAGCTCACGCTGCAGCTGCACAACGTCAAAGAACACAAGCACCACGCATACTTGTACTCTCGCTCAGGGGGCGCGTGCTAGGCGTGGTTGGACAACCTCTTGTCCAAGTATGGAGTGATAACTGCCGACTTGCACACCAAGATCAGTTGGGATGATCTGAAGGCGGCGTGGCACAAGCGGTTCCAGGTGGAGCCGCCGGAGATCAAAGCCATGGACAAGCTCATGGTCTTCGAGCAAGGCAAGCTGCCGAGTACCGATTGGATCACCGAGTACCAAAGCTTGACGTCAGTCCCAAACATCCAGATGGGCTTCAAAGTCATCCGCCATTACTTCATCTCAAGGTCATGTCCGACATTAAGCAATGCCCTGACTCATGTCGAGGACACCTTGACGACGACGGCAGATATGTTTGACAAGGTCGCGCAGATCATCATCACGAACAAGGAGGCCAAAAACCTACGTTCATCTGCGTCAGGCACGAGCAGGGACCAGCATCGGCCAAGAGTGGCCGTGGTCGCAGCGGCAACGCCGTTTGACCAAATCAGCGAGGCTGTGTCCGCCAGTGAAGGGGACAGACTCGCAGCCGCCCGGGAAGGTGGCCGCCCCGACAGAGGCCGAGCACGCAGCAGGACGAAGACACACACCGCATCTAGCCCCGGGCTCGGTGCAGCAGCTCAGGCAGGCCCATGGTCTCAATATGGCATCTCTGAGCAAGCATTCAAAGCGCGCGAGAGATTTCACTATTGCCTTTGGTGCAACAACGATCTTCATTATACGCTGGGATGCCCATTGAAAGGCAAGGGCAAACAGGGAAACTGAGCACCGCCGAGAGTGACTCGACGACACTCTTGACGCTTTCGGAACCGGTTTCTTCGCGAGTATCCGACCTTCATTCCGAGGTGCACGCGGAAGTCGATAGTCCTCCTCTTCTACTTTCTTTTGAGGACTATGCTGCCCGACTCGTTCCTACGCTGGGTACTCAAGCTCAAGGACAAGAAGTGTGTGCGGTTTCTTCTCCGTCCGGCAACGACGACATATCGTCTTCAAATGGTTCTTCACGGGATTCGGCACGCGAGTTCAACATAGAGGTATTGGACCTGCTCACGTCCGAGGACTTTGCATGACTTCCTCTCCCGACCACAGGCCGCGTGCCGGGACCGCAATGCGCAACACTTAGCGCTCATCTCCACACTTACTTATCTTTCTATGCACCACCAACTTCGCCGACAGATGACGAAGTCGCGTTGGGGGGATCCTGGCATATACTACCAAGGTGGCCCGCGATTTTCGCACGCAGTGGTACGATGACAACAACGCACCGCTCATGTATGTCCGCATTCAGGTTGGGCAAGCGTCCTGCAGTGCTTTGCTGGATAGCGGCGCGTCTCGCAATTTCATGAGTCAATCCTTTATGCAAATGGCTGGCCTTGGCGTACAAGTTCGGAGGAAGGCAAACCCGACGACGATCAAGTTGGCGGATGGAAAGACGCAACAACTTCTCGATCGTTACATCGAGGCCGTACCGGTCTACTTCGCACCTCATGCATGCGAGCCGGTAACATTCGATATTCTCGATACGGACTTCAACATCATTCTGGGAATACCTTGGCTTGCAAGTGCGGATCACACGATCAACTTCCACCGGCGGACTCTTAGCGTTCGCGACGCCTTCGGCGCGGAAGTGGCGCGTACTATTCCTCTACCACACCCTTCGATCTGGTGCCAAGTGGTGATGGCCAAATCATTCCGGGCGACTTGCGCTTACGAGCAGCCCGAGGAGATCGGCCTATGTTTCCTACGGACCGTCGCGGTAACCGACTCTTCACCCACGAACTTGTCTTCGGCCCCCCGTGTGGTGCGGTTGCTGGACGAGTTCGCCGACATCTTCGAGTCACCTACTGGTGTGGTGCCGGATCGGTCGATCTTTCACGAGATCATTCTTGAGGCCGGTGCCGTGCCGCCGAAAGGTTGCATCTATCGGATGAGCGAGGAGAAGTTTGAGGTCCTCCGCGCACAACTCGAGGATTTGTTGGCCAAGGGCTGGATCCGCCCGAGTAGCTCCCCATATGGAGCACCAGTTCTCTTCGTCAGGAAGAAGAACAAGGAACTACGACTGTGTATCGACTACCGCAAGCTCAACGCGCAAATCGTCAAGAATGCGGGGCTTCTTTCTCGCATCGACGATCTTCTTGAACGATTGGGCGGCGCAAAATATTTTTCTAAGTTGGATTTGAAATCGGGATATCATCAAATCTCGATCCAGCCGAACGATTGCTACAAGACCGCGTTCAAGACGCGGTACGGGCATTTTGAGTGGGTGGTCATGCCTTTTGGCCTCACCAACGTCTCGGCGACCTTTCAAGCGGCAATGACCAATGAATTCCGTGCAATGTTGGACCGGTTCGTGCTGGTCTACTTAGACGATATTCTCGTTTATAGGCGGTCATTGGAGGATCATCTTGGGCATCTTCGACGAGTGTTGGAGACGCTCCGCCGCGCCAAGTACAAGGCCAACCGCGACAAGTGTGAATTTGTCCGGTAAGAGCTAGGCCATTTTGTCACACCGGAGGGCATCAGTCCGTTATCGGACAAGATTCAGGCCATCCAAGAGTGGTCGGAGCCTCGGAACGTTACGGATGTCCGCTCGTTCCTCGGTCTTGCCGGCTACTACCAGCGCTTCATCAAAGGCTACTCGAAGATCGCGGCCCACTTGAACAAGCTTCAATGCGAGGATCGGTAGTTTGACTTCGGAGAGGAGGCGCGGGGATCATTCTTCGCTCTTAAAGCCGCGCTATTGTCTGCGGAGGTCTTGCGGATATACGACCTGCTCTTGCCTACGTGCGTCACTACGAATGTGTCAGGCTATGACATTGGTGCAGTCCTCGAGCAACATGATAGTGTGGACTGGCACCCGGTCAAGTACTTCAGCAAGGAAGTGCCCATCATGCATTCCATTGACGATGCACGCAAGAAGGAGCTCCTCGCCTTCGTCCACGCGCTCAAGCGGTGGCGGCACTTCCTCCTTGGTCGAAGCCAATTKCGCTGGGTAACGGACAACAATCCGTTGGTCTTCTACAAGACCCAAGACACCGTCAACARCACCATYGCTCGATGGATGRCTTTCATCGACYRGTTCGACTTYTTYCCCGATCACATTCYCGGGAAGTCGAATCGTTTTGCGGATGCTCTTTCACGGCGTCCGGATCATTGTACCGCGGTCTACTCAACCTTCGAGATCGACGATGACCTGCGGAACAACTTCATCCGCGGCTGCCAAGCCGATCCCAAGTTTCGCGACAAGTACGCGAATAGCTCCTCTCCTAATCCGGCTCCTTCTCACTACCGGATCCAAGAGGGGTACTTGCTTGTCCACACGCGGGGGAAGGACCTTCTTTGCGTACCGAGCGATCCTCACTTGCGTACACGGCTTCTTGGCGAGTTCCACGATGCTCCCGCCACCGGACACTTTGGAGTCAATCGCACGATTGGCCAAATTCGCTAGCGATTTTTGTGGCCCGGCCTTCTATGGTTGTTGTAGAGGCTGGATTACAGACATATGAGAGTCACCTTCGGCACTCCTCTGAGTCTAAAGGCAACTCATGTATTCCAGTTGACGATTGAAAGGCCCGGGCTTCCTTTCCCTAGCCCTGGACTCGTACCCGAAAGACTTGTGTCTTGTCCATCCAGATAAAGGGGTCTCGATGGCCCTGCAAGGATCCTGATCGACTGAGTACGTATCTTTCTATTAGGGCGTCCTGGGTCCTTGTCAAATGTATTCTCCCTAGGTGCCCAGGGTCCCCTCTGAGCCCGACCCAGTCCCCTTCCTTCAGCGAATGGCCTTTCTCAGCTTCCTATTGGTATCCTTTCTATGAGTTTGTCCCATATTTTGTGCAACGTGAACTCCAAGATCTAGGGTGAGATCACCAAATGTGAAAAAGACAACTATGGCAGGTGCATCTTTCCAGGCTCTAGCATGAGATACATTCTCTTTTTGCACATTTGGTGAATAGTGTGGCAAGGCCCTGACTCTACCAAGGCTAATGATTGTAGGGATGTGGGGAAAAAAAAGGTAGAACATATTCCGAATCAATCACATAACAATTTATTTATTTATTTATTTATTATCACATAACGAGTTGAGATAGAGCAATAACGGCCTAGCCCAGTTGGTAAGGCATGCAAGTGGCATTTGGGAGGTCTTGGGTTCAATTCCCATTGGCATCATGTTCCTTCCTGGGCAAGCTTGGCGCCCACCACCTAGATATAGGCTGTGGGTACCCCCTGAGTGGCATTTAGCAGAGACTGCTGATGTTCATAGGGGGAGGGGACCGGAGGGGAGGCACAGCAATAGGCCCATCGAAGAAGCTTGGTCCTGATACTACCAGTCAAACCCTGGCCAGTATCGCTCATAGCAGGTGTCACACCTGCTGGTCGGTGCAGCTCCCGCATGTTTCCTCGTTGGAGGCTTGAGCACGGATGTGGCTGCTATGGGGTCCCCCGTAATACTATATATATATATATCGTCAAATAGAACTGCCCGGTAAACCGTAGGCAGAGAGGGAGAAGAGGACAACAAACGAGGGGCTGTGATATTTGGGGGAATAGAGGTAAATTTCTTTTCTCGTTTTTTTTTGCTCTAACGCTTTGCTGGGAATGCTGTGCCGGGAATTGATTAGCTTCGTACACTCATGAACTGTTGAAATGGAGACCAGAGTTCGAATCCTGAACAAACTTAGATGAAGGAAATAGAACAATAATGCTTGAATTGCCAAAATGACCCTAAGAGATGCGGGTAGAGCGAAATGACCTTTCGGGCCGAAATGTGTGTTACGCCCCTGTCAGGCGGGTGTCCTTGGCCTTTTGCGATAGGGCAGAGGAAAATCTGGCAAGAAGCAGGGCGTTTTGCAAAGTTGGATGGTACACAATAGGGATATGATGCAAAGATGGGGTCCCAACCGATGTGAGGGGTAATTCACAAAATATTGTTTTGTCAGAGGGGCATTTTGGCAAACATCCTCAAGTCATGGGGATATTTTGACAAATTATCCCTAACAAGAGACCGTGAACGGGTAAAAGAAAAATGCAAAATTACTTGGCCAGGGCCACCCATAGCTTTTCCCGCTTGAACTGGGCAACTTTTGGGACCGGGCCACCATTGATAAATTTCATTGGCGGCCCGCGTTGCGATTCGGGCCTCCGAAAGTCACCGTGAGGGGCCCCGTGGCCGATATATGGGAAAGGTACTGGTGGTTTTAAACAAAAAAAAAAATCGTCATTCGCCACGCCCGGATCCCTGTTGGGCCACCGGGGTCGGGGCACGACAACCCTGATTATCATGTTATATTACCCTGTAGCTGCCCCAGATAAGGCATCTGTTCCAAATAACCTGTTTGTGGGGATAAACGACCCACCATGCAAGGTCTTATCGAACCAATTGTTTCGGGCGCACGAACCACAGGGAAAAGTGTGCCGAGGAATGATACAGAAACAGTCTCCACAGAGCCCCTCTTGGCCCGAAACGCATTCTCCACAGAGCCCCTCGCGGCCGGAGATGCATTCTCCGCAGAGCCCCTCTTGGCCTGGGACGCATTCTCCGCAGAGCCCCTCTTGGTTTGAGACGCTTTCTCCGCAGAGCCCTTCTTGGCCTGAGACACATTCTCCGTAGAGCCCTTGTTGGCCCTTGGCCTGAGATGCTTTCTCCGTAGAGAGCCCTTCTTGGCCAGAGACACATTCTCCAGAGAGCCCCTCTTGGCCAGAGACTCATTCTCTGCAGAGCCCTTCTCTTGGCCCGAGAAGCATTCTCTGCAGAGGCCTTATCAAAGAGGAGCCATTTGGATCTGTGACAAACTGTTTCCTCGGAGTTTCACCGACTCATATATATGTTGTCCTCTTCTCCCTGTCTGCCTACGGGACGGGCCAAACACTCGAACCCGAACGCCTGAACGTGCGGGACCCCCTCTCGATGCGTTCGGCCGTTCAGCCGAACGCGGATCCAAAAAAAAAAAAAAAAAAAGACCAAAAAATGATAAAAATCTGAAAAAAAAAAGTTATGCAGAAGAATAAACTGAACAACATTTGCCTCAGCGTTACATCCAAATTCTTTACAGTGGATTTTCGTTGCAGACTTCTTTGGTGTTTTTGGAAAGTGGGAATCCGGGATTTGGTAGTGTTTTTTTTCTTTTGGAAGACGGTGGTTTTCTTCGGGTGTCCAACCTATGGGGCAAAATCGCTGACGACGCGTGGCGCACAGGGCATTTCCAGGCTCGGCAAGGGAAAAGAGTCAAAAGTACTAGCAGCTCAAAGCCAGAGAATTTCCTGGCGTCAACTCTCTGGAGCACAACCGTTTAACGCACCACTTCATTTCCCAGCCGTTTTGTAGAAACGCATCGTGCATGCTGGCGTGTCGGGCTGGATGCGCCGCGGTGCCCAAAATCCATCCAGCCAACACAGGGCCCGCATGCAACTCATTTTTCCTGGATGGATTTCAGGCGAAACAGCACCACGGCGCATCCTGCCCGACGCGCCAGCATGCACGACGCAGTCCTGCAACCAATGACAGGTGCTGGGCAACATACCGGTGGTTGAAATTATTACATCATGTTGAAATTATTAACATTACATCATGTTGAAATTATTACATCAATTAATTGCCCCTTGAAGCCCCATAATAATTTGGTGGGCTTCACCCCTGCGGCCTCTTTCACTACTCTTTTCCAACCAGTGTTCTGTTCTTTCAGCGGAACTATCGGATTGTGTGACCGAGTTTGGCCAACTGGTCCATCGGAGGTAGGCCTGCGTTCTCTCCCTCAGAAAAAAAACGATTATTGGCAGAAGAGTAGGGTGTTTCAGGTGTCTAGTTTAGAGAACATTCTTATTACGAGACTGTTGCACTGTGCTGGACACTCCTTTTTTTTGTCGCTTTGTTTTCTGGACACTCCATATTCTTCTCAAGCGCGAATACAGATGTCTTCTGGAACCCAAAAAAAAACAAGTGTTCGTTTGGAGTACTTTGGGGCTCGTTCTACACTCTTTGGGGCGTCCTGGGGGTCGAAGGAAGTTTCCTTGGGGGTTTTCAAGGAAATTCCCGCCATCGTTCCACCTGTCCTCGGGGACGTTGCCCGAGGAAATTTCCTTCGACCGATGTCAGACAAGAAAAAAGAAAAGAAATAAAAAATCAAATGTGTTTGAGGCCTTCAGCCAATAGGGTGCCGCCACGATCCAGATTCTCGGTTGTAACGTCTCTATACCCATGTGCCCGCTCCTCTCCGTGAAACGCGGATTCCTTTTGCCCAAGGGCAAAAGGAAGAAGTGGCGGGGGAATCCTCGGAGCCCAAGGAATTTCCTTCGGCGTGTTTTCACTTTTTTTTTTCCGACTGCATCCCCGAGGATAGGTGGAACGAACAATTCCTCGGGGACTTTACGCGTCCGAGGAGTGTCGAACGAGCCCCTTTGTACTGTGGGGCCCCAATTTCCTTCGAGGAATTTCCTGCTTTGCGCCTGTGGAGCACCATCCTTTTTTTTCTTTTTTTTTTAACTTCGTATACAGGAAACCTACTTAATGAGATGATAAGAGCATCCTCGGTAAGTAAGTAGGCCCCAGCGTCGAAGGCTCCATCTATTGGATTATTCTTATTCTTATTCTTATTCTTTTTATTAATATTATCATTATTATTATCATTATTATCATTATTATTATCATTATTATTATCATTATTATTATCATTATTATTATCATTATTATTAGAAACAACGGCGGACGCGGCATGTTTTGAGTTCCTAAAGGCACGAAAAACAGGCCTTCGGCGACTGTGTCAGGCCCTAAGTTTGAAAAGGCGTTCGTAACTCAGGCCGGCAGTGGTGTCAGGGCGGAGGTTTCATTAAGG